GTAGGAAAAAAAGCAGTTGGAGTTGTGGGAATAGGTGTTTTATCAAGAGGATTCGAAAGTGGAGTTGGAGATATAATATCAGGCATAAGAGTTGTAGTGTTAATTGCAAGAGATGTAATGTCAGTTTTAGGAGATGCAACTCTGTTTGTAAATGGTTCAATGGTAGTAGTAGAATTTTCAGTGGTATTTGTCAATAAAGGTGAAGAATTATGTATTAAAGGTAAAGTTGCAGTTTTATGAGTAACATCATTAGTAGGATGAATAGGCATATCATTTGTAGGTGATGTAGAATTATTTGTAGATGGCAAAGTGGTGATTTTAGGAGTAGATAAAGGTAGTGGAGGTGTAGAACCATCTGTAGGCGTCGTAGTCATAGTTCTAAGAGAAGGTGCAATCTCAGGAGGAGAAATAGGATCATTTGAAGGAGATGCAGTAACATTTGTAACAGATGTATTGCCATTTGTAGATATATTTTTATTTACAAAAGTTACAGTTTCAGAAGATAAAGAAGTTTCAGGGGATTTAGTTGGTGTTGTATAAAGTGTAAAATTTTTATTTGCCAATGACTCAACCGTAGTAGTAGAAGATGCAGTTATATTTGTAGAAGAAGCAGTTATATTTGGAGGAGACTCGTTAACAGGTAAATATGTAACTGTAGGTGCACTACTACTTGTTAGAGATGCAGTGTTATTATTAGAAGGTATAGCTCTATTTGTAGGAGACATATCCTCAGGGGAAGATAAAGATGCAGTTGTAAGAGGTGGAGTGATAGTAGTAGAAGATGCAGTATTATTTGTAAATGACTTCATAGTAGTATTAGAATAATCATTGGCCGTTGTAGCAGATATTTCTCCAGGTAAAGGTGTAACTGAAGGTGTTCCACTACTTGTAGTAGAATTTGAAGGTAATGTTTCCGTTGCAGGAGATGTTACAACCTCAGGCGAATGTGATGATGAGGTTGTGTCAGATATAGTATTAGTATTAGGATGTATTGTATTATGTGTAGTTAAAGAATTGGATTGTGTTGAGTTTTCTGGAGAAATTGTGAATGCAGTTCCTGGGACAATTTGATCTTCAGCAACTGATGGTACTGAAGTGTCGCTTGTTAATGTATTTTCAGAGGGACTGGTACCATTTATGTTATTAACACTAGTCGTTTTGATATCCATTGAATCCGTAGCAGTATCATTTGTAACAGATGAATTGCCATTTGTAGAAATAATTTTATTTACAGAAGTTACAGTTTCAGAAGGTAAAGAAGTTGCAGGAGATGTTTCAACCTCAGGGGAATGTGATGATGAGGTTGTGTCAGATATAGTATTAATATTAGGATGTATTGTTTTATTTGGAGTTAAAGAATTGGATTGTGTTAAATTTTCTGGAGAAATTGTGATTGCAGTTTCTGGGGAAGTTTGATCTACAGCAACTGGTGGTACTGAAGTGTCGCTTGTTAATGTATTTTCAGAGGGACTGGTACCATTTACATTATTAAAACTAGTCGTATTGTTACCCAATGAATCTGTAGTAGTATCATTATGTAATTCATTAGGAGTTACAGTTGTAGGTTGTACGTTATCTGGTAATGCAGTTGTATTATATGAAGTTTCATTAGATTTATTTTGATTGCTTTCTGGAGGAATCCACGATAAATCATATGGATCAGCTGTATTTCTTCGTTCTTTAATTTGATAAATTAATGTTGTCATATTACATTTATTACCAGTCTGTTCTAACACAGTTTTTTCCATTGTATTACTATAATCATTCCATATTTGAATAGAATTATTTATATATAATGGATCATCATAAAATTCACTGGCGAACATGTTAACAAATTGCATTCCTCTCTTATATATGTACATACTCCACTTTCCACAATTAAGTTGAGATTTGTCATCTTCATACCTTCTGTAATAGTAATAAGATATATCATTAGTAACATCGTCAAACTTAAGACGTCTTTGCTGAATAATTTGAGTTTTATTATCACTATATGAATCATCACTGAGTTGATTGTATGTTAATGTACTTACTGGTAGATCATTATTTTCATAAGGGACAGTGCAGTTATTATTTTTATTCAAAATAGAACAATAATCAAACGTTGTTGTTTTACACGTTGAACTTGTTTTTTGAACTATATTTGTTTGAAAAGAATTTTGTTTCTCATTCCATTTTTCAACAAGACAGGAGATATTATAATCTTCTTTTTCACTTAATAGCAAATTAACATAGTCCATTCCTCTCCAATTTATGTATGTGGATGCCTTTTGACATTTTTCTGTGTCATTCGTAATATTATTGTCTTCAAGATAAAATTGAAGTTCATTACGAGTATCATCCATAAACGATTGAATTTCTGTATTGAGCTTAATTGTATCATTAGATAAAGTAGCATTGTTTTCTATTGTATTATTTCCTTGATTTGACATGCAGGAAATTTCTTCTATTTGTGATAAAAATCTTGCCTTCTTTATGATGGATTTTTTTCTCATGATTGTAATATCATGATAAAAGGCTTTCTCAAAATATTTTGCAGTAGTATCCAAAAATTGATTTATTAAAGAAAAGAAATTTTTATGTGAATTATAGATAAATGTATAAATTTCAAGAAAACCCAAAAGTAATGTGTATGTACGTATTTTATAATTTAAATCTATCAAACGTTAAAAAAATATTCGTTAATCCAATTAAGGAAGAAAAATAATTTAATTTGACCAAAAAATTGAATATAGATATTTTTGTTATTTTTGAGCATCATTATACACTTGAATTACATTGAGAAATTGTTATAATTTCTACATAGAAATGACAATACTTGTACTTATGTGATAACTATATTATATATTTGTTTATATTTTAAATTGTCATTTTATATAGTATAAGATATTAATTTAGAATATAGGGAATTTTTTGTATGCCTTTTGTTTTGAATATTAAAATTTTTAATTTCATGTAACAATAATGTTATTAGTTTTCAAATAACAAGAAAAAATATAATTAATAAAACAAAAGTTTAATTTATAAAATTAAAATTAAGAAAAAAAAAATAAAATAATTGATATAGTAAAATATCATATTATGTTATGAAATTATAATTAAAAAAAAAAATTAGTATAAATAAAAGAAATTATTTTAAGTGTTTATTCTGTGTTTTCTTAAATTTTTTATAAAATCATATGATTATGAATGTAATTTTGAAATAATGATATGATTATTTAATTTATGTATTTTGAATAAAGAATTTAATTATTATATAATATTTTTACAGCATTTTTTTTTTTGAATAGTAAATTTATATGAATTTTCAGTAAAAATATATTTCCTATAAAAAAAAATAGAACATGTATATATATTTAATTTTATTACAATTTTCATTTTCTTATTAATTTTTTTTTTTTTTTTTTTTTTTTTTTTTTTATATTAGATAATTGATGATAATTGCTTTACTAAAGATAATATATATAAAAAGATAGGTGGAGAAATAGAAAAATATAAAAAATTATTTAAAAAATATTTTCAATTTAATGATAAAAAAAGTGAAGAATGGAATGCCGTAAAAGAAATATTAAAGTTATTAATGAAGTCAAAAGAATTAAGGGATATAGTTACAGACATAAGAACAGATGAACAAATTGAATTAGTTAGACAAAAAATTCTTCAATTAACAAAAGAAAATAAAAATTATAAAATATTTTTTGATGTATTAAAAGATAATAAAATGATATATAATATATTAGATGATAGTGAAGAATGGAAATATTTTGTAAAAGCTAATTTTGAAAATATTAAAAAATTAGTTGAGCCATATACTCAAGATAATAATGATGATTTATAAGTAAAATATGTATATGTAAAAATAAATTTATAATTAATTGATATAATGAAAAGGAAAAAAAAAAAAAAAAAAAAAAAAAAAAAAAAAAAATTTATTTTTTTTTTTTTTTTTTTTTTTTTTTTTTTTTTTTTCTAATAAAATTTTTAATATATAAATTATATATATTTTCTTTTTATTGATATTTTAAGAAATATGCACAATAATTATACCAATTTAAAGATACTTATTTTTTTGATTTTTCGTTCTTTTGTCTTTTCATATTTTTATATCTAATAAAAAAATTTGAAAATATGTTTTTAATCCCATTCTTAAAGAATATAGAAGAAAAATATAAACTTTTTATTTTTAAATATTTAAAAGTAAATTTTTTATTTACTTATTTGTTGTAAATTATAGTAGAATAATTTGTTCTTTTTAAATTTTGTAAATATGTTTTTTTTTGAATTTCCTTTTATTTACTCTATGAAATATTATTTGTTCATTAAATAGGTAGCTTATAGCTCTTTTTTTCCGTTTTATATTTAACATCTTTTTATGTATTTTTTAATTTATTCTTTTCTATTTTTAATTTTCTGTTTATTTTTTTATTCTAACTTAAACATATTTGTTATTTATTTTTTTTTTTAACATTAACTATTAATTGATTATAATTATTAGTTTATTTATTACGAGTTATAATCAGCAATCATTTTATATTGCTGTCGAATTAACAAAACACAAATACTTATTAAAAATGCAAATAAATTATATGCATATTAATTACATGAAAATTTT